TATTATTAAATCAGGCGTTTGTCAAAATAATGAAATAATGAAATATAAAAAAATTGGCATTTTTCTGTCGTTTGACAATTTTTATCGAATTTTTGTTTTGTGACTCAGCACCTTTAAGGTCCATTTAAAACCACATTTAGATCTAGTGGTAGCCTGGTTTCAGAAGTAAAATTAGCGAGAAAATGGCCGCCAAATATTGGCGCCTTCCTAAGCTTGAGAGTACTTACAAAATGTAAATTAACATTTTTGTGTCTTAAATCAACATTTTTCAGTAAAATCCAAACAGAAATGTAGTTTTGAAAGGACCTTAAAGGTGCTGAGTCACAAAACAAAAATTCAATAAAAATTTTCAAACGACAGAAAAATGCCAGTTTCTTCTATTTCATTATTTTGACGAACGCCTGATTTCACACATATAGAACACACACGTACGCCGACAGATGACTTACTGTGGCTGCTGAACGTGGCAAGAACAGACAACACAAGGGGCGTAAGTCCTGCCGACAATGTCCTTTTGCCGAAGCAAAACACCAGCTCTGCCATCAGGCCGGACTCCAGCATTTGCTGAGGGAAGAGAGAGAGAGAGAAACAGACAAGCTGAACATCATCATCAATTATAATTAACAAATAGAGCGCCTTTCTTTAGTAAGTATATTACGGCACTTGCAACTAGGTCATATAAAAGTGCTGAGGATTCATCATCATCCAGTGCCAGATGTGTGACAGACATCGGCGATCATTGTTCTCCATTCATTCCTTTGCTCGGATGCTCTAAAATAAGCAACGTTTCCCTGATCTTTCCCTGTTACCCATTTGTTTAGGTTCCTTAAGTATGTTGATCTGGGCCTACCCCTGCCTCGTTCGCCTTCAACTTTGCCAGTGAGAGCTAGATGTTCAAGGCCCTTATGTCTATTCAGGTGTCCCAAAAACTGCATTTGTCATTTCCTGATTGTTTTAACTTTGAGCGTCCCACGTGGGCTTCATCAAGCACTACCTTATTTGATTTCTTTTCCCTCTACGATATTCTCAACAGTCTCCTAAGAAACCACATTTCTGTTGCTTCTATTTTATTTTCGTTGCCTTTAGTGATTGTCCAGCATTCTCAGCCATATATAGAAGGGTTGACGATACATAGCATTTCAAAACTTTCATTTTGGTGTTCATCGAGATGTTTCTATTTTTCAGGATAAGCTCTAGCAAAACCTCCGGGTAGTCACTGTAGTGTAACTGTTCTAACCCAACCCTTTACCTCCCTCTCCCCCACCTCACCCACGACCACTTCTACCCTCCCACTCCCCCTCCCCTCTCCCTCCACCCTCCCTCCACCACCACCACTACCCTCCTCCCTCTCCACCCTCCCTCTCAAGCTCCCTCCCTCCCCTCCCCTCCCTCTCCCCGTCCACCTCCTCATCCAAGTACTCACCGGCAGATATCTAACTCCCAATCCATTGATAAGCTTTAGCAGAACCTCCTGATAGTCGCTGTACTGCATCTGTTCCACCCCAACCTCTACCCCCTCTCCCTTCACCCCCCTCTCTCTTCCCCACCCTCTCTCCTCCCTCCTCCTCCCACCCCCTCCCCTAGTACTCACCGGCAGATGTCTAACTCCCAGTCCGTTGATAAGCTCTAGCAGAACCTCCTGATAGTCGGAGTAATGCATCTGTTCCACCAGTAGGGGAAGGAATGACTCTCGGCAGATCTTTTCCTGCATGG